ACTTCTCAAACAAATATTTTAATATCTTGATTGCTGTTTAAATGATCACAGTAGCTTAGAAGTGTTTCTTTCTTTCCTGGAGTATTTGCTAAGTCATCCCATTTAAATCAAAGCTCTAACCATGTCAGTTTTTATTTCTCTCTTTTTCTCTCAAAAAGGCTGAAACACTTCCTTGTAAAAGATGTTCATAAATACGATTGGTAGGACATTTTCATTTTAGATATAGCGATAGAGCTCAACAAAAACTGCCGAGAGTTCCCAAATATCTGATCAGGGCTCACTATTTTGTCCTGATAGGACACATCATGCGCTCTCCTTCCTTTTCTTGTGTGGCTCATAAGGAGTGAACACGGTCATGAGTAATGGTTACTAAGTGACGCCTAATCCTTCCATAGCTCCTCCTGCACAAGAAGGTTTTCTGGGCATTTTGCAGAAGGAGAAGGAAGCACAGGAAGCTGATGCCATGCACTGTGAACCCACAGGGAGTCAGGCAGGACAAGCTACTCTCATAGTGCCTCGTCCTGAACCACAGGCCCTTGGCACAAACATAACCCTGGAGACAGTCCCTGACCCAGAGCCATCCATCAACAAAATGGAAGGCAGTATGTAGAAGGTAAAGAGAACTGCAAAGGGACAGTCAGGCAATATTAATCACTGTGATAGGTGGTAATGGAATTAGCTCATCAACCTAATTATTTGCTTTAAAAAACTATGATATCATGGTGGAGAAGAGATAACTTTATGGATGTGTGCATTCTTTCCCATTCCTTGGTATGAAATTTGTTCTCTGAGGCTATTCTGGACATTCTTCCCTTCCCACACCCCCTCCTCACTCCCAACTATATGGGCTCTGCACTTGCTTTTATTCACTGGCAGAAAATTGTTGCAAGAATGCATTTCATTTTCACTAATATCCCTGTGAAATGTGTTGCTCAGATTTATGAAGTCCTTTAGATCCTTGCGCTGGGACCGAATTTGAGTTTCCACCTTCCACTGCTTACCCTGAAGAAGTGCTAAGTCATAACACATTAAGGAAAAGGAATGTGTCTCGTGCAGATTGTCTTCCCACGTTACTGAACAATCAGCTACTTGCACTATAGTATTTAAAGAGTGCAACCTGGATCAGGGTGGCCCCTGCATGACAGGGTAAGAAATGGCACTCTCCTTGAAGCACAGCAGTCTCTGTGAAGTGGAATGTCTGAGATTGCTCCACAGACCAGTGGCAGAGCTCTCAGTTGCAGAAAAAAACCCTAAACAATGTAAATATCATGCTTTCATAGTAAGTGCTGTAGTTCATTCTTGATTTCAAATAGGGTAAATGCAGTCAGCTCAAATACTTCATAACCCTGTTGATTTTACAGAGCAAGAACTTGCTTCCAGAATTTAGAGAAACCAAGATGGTGCCCCAAAGAATTCATAACAACACACCACATAAGTACATTTAGTCACTGGGAAAGGGAGGGGTAAATAAGCCTGGAGTGAGTTTTGTTTTCAAGGTCAGAGTTGCAGGGAAGTTAGCCATCTGTGCATTTGTTTAATAAAGCTGCTCAGAAATGTTGGTGTATAAGCCTGTTCAAGTTCTGTTTAGAGATTAGTCTGAGCCTTTGGGTTTCTTTAAACAGTGCCCTGATAATTTCTATGTTGCTGGAACAGTTGCATCTGGAATGCACGGATGTAGCGGCTGCTTTGAGGAAATTCTCAAGGTCAGGCTTTGGCTGGGAGGGGATCCCAGGAAATCTGATCACCTTCATTTGTCAGTCACTGGTGGCTGGAAAATCCTATCTGTTTTCTTCCTCTG